TGAGTTTTAAAATATTGGCATATCGGATATCGGCCAAAATCCCAATATCGTGCATCCCTACAAAGAGCTATAACTTTAGAAAACAACGACGCTACATCATTCCGGTCTGCTGTAAATCTAAATGACTGAATCTGTGAAGCAAACAGAGCAGAAGTTTATCAATGAAGGAGAGATTTAAATAGGAAAAAAAAAGTGTATCCTCATTGTATAATTTATGTTAAACTCATTTAAGTTTCCTAAAAAGAACGGGTACAGAAGAAAATACCGGTAATATTCTTTCTAACGTTTCAAGACAAAATGCAAACAATGCATAGATGCATATTTTGCTAGAATCTAAACTGTAGAAAATAGCTTATTAACCAGGAATGAAGCCTGTATGATTGTATTTGTAAAAAAAAAACTATGTGTCTCGGTTGCTTTCACAGGGAGCAACCAGAAGTAGGGATATCCTGATCCGATATTGAAAATCATTCCGATATCAGCCAGAAAAAGAACATCAGAATATATCAGCCTGCATCTAAAATATGCAAATTAGCAAACAGACAAAAACACTCTGCTTCTATCAGCTTCTGCTTAAGGTTTCTGTGACCAATAGCTTAATTATAAATGGGTGAGTTAGTGACTATTGTTCCCCGATCAGTTAAATCACTAATATTACAAAATAATCAATAACATTATGTACGATTACAGCTGATATTGTATCAGGTCTGTATCAGTACGGTATCAGTCAGCACTCAAAGCTGCAATAGCTGGAAATTAAAACGTTTTGTCAGAAAATCTTGAACCAGAAGCTGCAACAAAGAAATAAAACCACTAAATTCACTGATCAAAAGTGTTAAAATCTCCATAACAAAATAATAAAAAAATATATTTTGGGCTGTTTGTTGGTCTGGAGCACACGGGTATGTGTTAACACCCATACACAGAAACAATTGCTGTTACCCATTGATCCCAAAGGGGTTGAAGGGTAATTTTCCCATCAATCTGTAGGAAATCATCTCGTAGACAGAAAAACATTTTAAGAGAAGAAAACATTTCAGACACCTGACAATGATCCCAGTAGGGGATGCTCTGAGAAATGAAAGAAACCATCTAAGAGCAAAACATGTTACCAGGTAAAGATTAGGAAAAAGACTGAACACGTTTGCCTTGTTTTGGAAAAGTAAAGGAAAAAGCTTCTCCTCTCTGAAAATAACAGGAAAGCTTGGCTTGTTTGCCAGGATGAAGAATAACTGACATCTTTGCTAATGAAAAGTAACAAGGTATCAGCCTTCCTGCCATTTGGCACAGTAGTGGAGGAGTGATGGTTTGGGTTATGCAACCAATGGACCTGATCACCTTGCAGTCATTGAATTGATCACAAACTTTTCTCTACAGCAACGTTTCCTGGGGTCAATTATTAAGGCTATAACACAGCAGAAGCTTTAACACTTTCGGGCTGCAACGGCCTAATCAAAGTCCCGACTTTAATCTGATTACAAAGCTGCAACTGAAATGTAAAAAAAGAAAAAAAGAAGAAAAAACCTTTTTTTATAAATCAGTATCCGCAAATTTCATGACTGTAAAAGAAATGGCTCAATATTCCTTCTGAGAATCTGATTTTTTTTTTTTTCCTTTTTGTACCAAAAGCAATTGAATTATGGGTTATATTTGATTTTTACAGAGCGTCTTTGCTCTGGCTTCATTTTTATTTATTCAATTAAATAATGCATTATGCTTTTTGTGCTCAAATAGATTCAAATAGTATTACAGCTTTTCTGAAAGCTTTAAATCATGGTGTCCAACTCCGGCTCCCAGATGGTTACCGTTTGTGATCACTTTCCTATGCCGAACAAATGGAGTTCCCCTCCGTCCCTCAGTGAGGTCTAGAAGCACGAGATCTATATCCAGCCATTCAGCAAAGATACTGCTACATCGCTGAACAGCTTATTTTGGCATTTGACCAATTAGATGAGCCCTTGAATGATATATTACCTACTGTAAACTAGTTTGAAAGAAGAAGATAAAAAGTCAGGAAAATATGTAAAAAGGTAATTAAAAAGTTTAAAAGTAAAGAAAAAAGGTAAAAAGCTACGTAATTGAAAAGTTTAAAAGTCAAGAAAAAAATGGTAAAAAGTTAACTAGAAAGTTTAAAAGTCAAGAAAAAAGTAAAAAGCTAATTAAAAAGTTAAAAAGTAAAGAAAAAGACGTAAAAAGCAAATTGAAAAGTTAAAAAGTAAAGCAAAAAAAAATTATAAACCTAGTTAACAATTATATTCAGGTGTATAAAATAAAATATTTAATTGCTATTATCAGCAATAATTGCCTCTAAGGTTATGTTGTACCAAAAAAAAAAGTTTCTTTCACTCAGAGTGTTTTTCATGAATTTCTTATTGAAGCACTTTTGTTAATTTTTCTTAATATATTCAATCAAGTTGGCGTTTCTTGTTATTACATTGACATTAATTTTTGCCATCAAAATATCCATATTTTTTTAATGTTACAAGGTAATAAAGTATGGAGGACCAACTCTGCCATATTTAAAAATAATTACAGAAATAAATAAATGCTGAATAAATAAATAAGCAGACAATTAATTCCCCCGAAAAATACAATAAAGAAATAAATGTAGGTAGAAATTAAATTATATAGTAAGACATAAATGTTTGTAATAATTGCCTTATTTATTTATTGTCCATTATAGTCTTCAACTTTAGTTTGTCAGTTTTTTTCTTTCTTTGTATTTTAGCATTGAAAAAATTAATAGGGTAAAAAAAAAATAAGGCAATTATTACAAAGGCAAATAAATAAAAAAAGCTTATTAAAAGAGAAATATACATTTAAGTCTCACTGTATGATTTAATTTCTACCTACATTTATTTGTTTATTATATTTTTGGGGGCAATTAATTGTATGTTTTTTTATTTATTGAGCATTTGTTAATTTATGTATATATTTCTAATTATGGCAGAATTGGTCCTCCATAATAAGGTCTGGATTCCAATAAGACGACTGGCTGGAAATTTGGATTTTCAAAGGATTTCACTGAGTGGTCTATAAAGGGTTCAGAATCTCCTCAGTATGACAGGAAAGTAATCTGATCTGTTTCT